AAATCGATGTAGGAACTTATAATTTTTAAATCATGAATCTGCCTATACCTATCGACACATAAATGAAATCTCTTGCTAATTAATCTATTAAACTAATGAAGAATCTTGTTCATTTAGCGTCGAATGGAGAACATTGATATGTTGAAAGTCATTTGAAAATTGCCCAATAGCAGAGGTAAGATTTTCACTAAGAAATATCAAAATATAAAAAATTAATTATACAAAGAAACCAAGCGTATTTAACATATAATATATACATAAAAAATAATAATTCCATCTAATTACACTTCGTAATTTTCGGGCTAAGGCTAGTCAATTGATGATCCTTGCTTAATAAAGGGGTTCATAAAAAAATCAAATAATCTACCAAAAAAATGATGCCTTTCAACGAAAATTTCCAATAAATTATGTGAAAATGGGATTATATTTGGGATATATAAAAGAAAGATATAAAATCTATGAACTCCTCGTTAACGAGAAAACTTTATAATATCATGCAATTGTAAAATCATCACATCGAGTCGTCAAGTTTTGTTCAACTCGATTGCAATTATCGAGTATTTCCTAGTATTTTATTCAAAAATAAATTTCTTAAAATTTTCTGGGAGTAAAAAAAAGTATAAAGAACAGAACAGTTTTAATTGTTGACCTTCTATGATTAATTATTGTGAGGAAAAATATTCTAGAATTTCTAATTGTTTCAATTAATTGTGCAAAATGCAGATATTGTAGAAACTTGGGCCTTTTCCTGCCCCTTTCTTGTAGAAATGACACCAAGTAGCCACTCTAAAGGGCTGCTATTTAGGAATTAGTCAGGTAGTTCTGAATTTCAGTTTTTAAGTTTAATTTTCAGGACAAAAATGTCCTGAAGTTAAAAATTTTAGTTTAAAGTTCCAAGACAAAGTAAATACCGACTAATATCTAAATAGCATCCATGAAAATGGCTATTTGTGCACTTGCTCCCCTTTCTTTTAGAAATGACACCATGTAGCCACGGTAAAGGACTGCTATTTAGAAGTTAGCCAATGCGTCACAAATTTCAATTTTTTAATTCAATTTTTTGGGATAAAAGTGTCCTTAATTATCCTGAAGTTAATATTTTTAATTTAAAATTTTATGACAAAATAAGTACTAGCTAATCTCTAAATAACATTCCTAAAAATGACTATCCGTGCACTTGTCCTTTCTTTGTAAACTAGATAAAAGTTGCCCGTGCTACGCACGGGCCCAACAAGTTGCAATGTGCTTGTTTTTTCAAGTGTCCTGGCGTCAACCAAATAGTGTTCCATCTCTAATTATGAAATTGGACTATCACAACCGGTAGGTTTTTCATGCATCATATAAATAGTATGTATGATAGTACAATATCTACAAAAGAGGACCTAAAATACTCTACAATGCTACTGCTATCCGGATAACCATAGGTAATGATTACAACTAAATACTATTGATGTAATAGCCACAAGAATATAGAAAATTTGTATTTTTAGCACAAGCACATTTAACCCATCATTCCCTTTCGAGAATCAGCTACTCTTGTTATACCCGAAACACCTAATCAGTAAATGTAGATATGTGAGATGAAATACAAATTTGAAAGAAGCACTCTGAACTATTCAATTGTTAGTAGACCAATAAATCATCATCAATAATTTGGACATATTATTAGCAATAAAAAATAATTGGGAGCTTACCAATATGTCATCTTCACATGTAATTGCATATCCGAACATGAAATAGGTGTATAATTGGTTGCATCCGCTGGTTTGTAATATTTTACCAGTGTAATTCCCCCACCTTCAACAGTATAAAGAGGCAAATTACCTGAGTAATGACGTAAAATACAATAGGATAGGGAAGTCTAACTGAGAAACCTTCATCGTAAGAGAATTTAACAGAATAATTCAGTCTCAGAATAAAGACAATCAATTGCCCCATACCAACTACCTTATCATAAGTTATCATCAGATGCCTTGAAAACTCTTTAGAGATGTATAAAATGATATGTTTTGGTACATTCTAGCAGTTGTTTGAACCGGTTGGCCTACTCCATGTCTCCCTTGCTCAATTCAATACTAACAGGCAAATAAAAACAATGTTATTATCCAAAATAACTTGAGTTAGCAAAATGACCATCGATTGCGGGTCAACACGTGCTAAGCAGCAAGTCTCACCTTCGTCCACTCCTTTGGCAACTACTGTCACATCTTATAGTTTTCTTGTGGAACCGAAGATTAATAAGGTTCATTCATGACCTTGCAGTATGAGACACCCACAATACTATGAATTTGTTGCCTCGCGGTTCATGCTTGTTTATTTCCATATGAACTTCAGTAAAATCGTATGTGCATTTGAAGACAGAAGAATGACAGACTGCTAAATCCATGATTAATCACCAGTTTGCTCCACCGTAGCTTAATTCGCACTTCCGAGAACCTCTCCTTATTTCTCTTAATCTTCTTGAAATTCAACGGTAACTTACTTTACCACCCAATTGAGGAAGTTATCGAAGCATTCAGAGCCTTAGACATCAACACCAACTCCATTTTCATAAACCAATAATTCAGTTCCTTAAAATTAAAATCTAAGATATTCCTCTAGCTAATGGCGGAAATAGAACTGGAGAAGAAGAAACCAGCTTTGTGGTTAGACGATGTGGATACTTTGGGCGGCAAAGAAACTCAACCGAAACCCCAATTTCTCTTTGTCCAAAAAAATGACAGAACATTAAGAATCGATGAATACAAAAGCGGTATAAATTCGCAAAGGGAACGGACTGAAATTTGTATTACTGAAGGAAGAAAAAGATCAGAAAATATCTTCTAAAAGACAGAAAAATAATGTAATATTTCACTATTGTTAGATCATATTTTAACCCCTTTCGTTGCTTAAGTAGCGCTGAGAAACACAATGATCAGAATATGAAGACATATAATATGATAAATTTCCAGATTCATTGCTAAAGTCTTAAATAGTAGACAGAGTAAATGTAAATTGACTAAATAGTGGCAAGTAAAATAACTGAAGGCAGATACATGGAAGGATATTAAATCACCTGCCTTTTTCTAGCCAAAACCTCTTAAAGGATTCATGAGTTGTAGTTGAATTCTGTTGGCTAGGTTCTCCATAATTGATGGCTTCTCATCGTTAATTCCATTTATCAGAAGCTGGTAAGATTTGTGTGCCTTCCATATGTATCGTTGACATAGAACCAGCTGAAATGCCAACGATAATATAAATTAAAATCCACAATCAATCCCTCAAGACACTGCAAAACTAACTGATCAAATTGAACGGACAATCAATATCTAATTTCAAAGTATCCAGCTTCGATTTCACAGGTTTCGTAGAAGAGCTAAGATTATGTGCAAAACTATCAATATAAGAAGCAAGGAGTTCACCGTTCAACAAAAAATTATCAACATGACTTGCACCAACTTTTTGTGATTCTCCGGCCAAACATGTGGGATACCCATTTCACACTTAATTTTAGCATCAGAAGATTGCTCTGGTTCTTTGGCAACTTCCACTTCCTAAACAACAAAATGAAAATTAGTGTATGGAAAATGTAGTAAAAAGCACACAGGTACATACAATTACCTGGAAGTATGAATTTTGTAAATCGAAATAAAGTAGCCAGAAGAGTTTAACTGTAATTTAATCAAAATGTATAACATAGTAGTTTCATATGTTCTGCCTGCTTTATTCTAGGTATATGACACGTCCTTATCTTGTAAAATTTTGGAGTGCAAACGCAATTTCTAATTAATAAAGCACAAAAAAGAAAGTAGAAGTTAGTCATAGTAAAATTAAAGTTGATAAGAATTTTGATGCATATACATATAGTTAGCGATCTTGCTTTTAAGAGACAGTAAACCCTCATCCTTTGTTTGGAATTGGGTCCGTTTGGGTTACAGTATAAATGGAGTTCTTTCTGGTTCTTCACATAAGAATTAGTTGTAATAGTTAAGCGAGAATCAACTTTATAGAAAAAGAAATGTTAAAGCAACCATCAAATGATGGTTTTCCAAGTATGTCACCAAACAGGTATCCAAATGATACGAATACATCAGCAACAATTTTTTTTTTTATTTTGTTAGTGAGCTTTAAATTTTTTTCATCATGCAGTAGTTATATTCTAAATTATTGGTATGAAGGAACCTAATACTATTGATGCAAGAAAATGCATCTGGATTATCAAATAATATTGAAGCAAGAAAAGAAAGTAAAATAGATGGGTAAAATAAGACAAAGGTAGAACAGATTATACATCACACAGAAACAGTAAGATCAAATAGATATCACATTGAGCTATTTATTGCGTGGTAGAAACAACAATAAAAGTTTAGCAAGGATTTGCAAGGATAGAAGTTAATCTTTTGTTATTGCATAGTAAAGGTGTAAAAAATATATTTTAACAAGAATCGTTAAATGAATAATAAGCATACAGGTAATAGTAAAAATACCTTTGTAACAACATTAGAGTAATTCCTGGGACGATGCCAAACCTCAAGCCAACTTGAGCTTTAAATTTTTTTCATCATACAGTAGTTATATTCTAAATTATTGGCATGAAAGAACCTAATACTATTGATGTAAGAAAATGCATCTGGATTATCAAATAATATTGAAGCAAGAAAAGAAAGTAAAATAGATGGGCAAAATAAGACAAAGGTGGAACAGATTATACATGACATAGAAACAGTAAGATCAAATAGATATCACATTGAGCTATTTATTGCGTGGTAGAAACAACAATAAAAGTTTAGCAAGGATTTGCAAGGATAGAAGTTAATCTTTTGTTATTGCATAGTAAAGGTGCAAAAAATATATCTCAACAAAAATCGTTAAATGAATAATAAGCATACAGGTAATGGTAAAAATACCTTTGTAACAACATTAGAGTAATTCCTGGGACGATGCCAAACCTCAAGCGAACTTGCCATGAATTATGTGAGCACATTACAAGAACAAAACTTGGGGCCATCTGGTAGAACTATTTATGGAAAAGCTTTTTGAATGATTTCATTATACACTATATTGTAAGTTGAATGATCATCATTGCTATCTGTTGTGGCTGGTCGAATTAACAATTTTACACAATTGGAGCTTTTTGCTCTTGATAGAGCTACATAGAGCTGACCATGGGAAAAAACAGGTTCGCGTAAATAAACTCCCACGAAGTTCAATGTTTGACCTTGAGCTTTATTTATTGTCATAGCAAAACATAATCTCACAGGAAATTGTGTTCTTTTGAAAGGAATAGGCAATTTTTCATCTGTTGATGATAATAATGGTATTCTGGGAATAAATACATGCGTATTCTTAAAGTCCCCAGTGGCAATTTTAGCACTTATAACATGTTTTCGAAGATCACAACATATAAGTCGTGTACCATTGCATAAGCCTTCACATGGATTTAAATTTCGTAATAACATAATAGGACAATTCTTTTTCAAGGTCAGTTTATGGGGAGGTAAACCAGCAGGATGTAAAGTATGCAAAAAATCTTCATATTGACTTTGATCGTTTGTTTCAATAGTCTCATCAAATGCAACATATGTTTTAGGATCACCAGGAAATTGAGCTATGAGCAAATCATTTATTTGATCAACAAAGTCATTTTTGGTTGTCAGAATTACGCGTGAAGTTATAGAAGATGCATCGGAAAAACATGTATGTAGATCTGGATAAGTAACTCTAAACAACAAATCTAATGATTGATTTTCAGAAATGAAAGGGATAACTAAACAATCAGGGATTTCAATTTTGTCATGGCTATTTGTTTTTTCTTGTCCATTTCCAATTCTCATCAAATATTCACAGAAGATAGGATCTGTCTTTGCACGCATATTTTCTGATAATCGTAATTTTTCTAGTTGATTCCAAATTTTCGAATATAATAAGCTTTCTTGAATAAAATCTTCTTTTTTCCCACTCCTAACAACTGGGAGAGTTTGTCTAAAATCACCACCGAAAACGACCACTTTTCCTTCAAATAGAGTATTTGTATCCATTAGATCCTTTAAGAGAATATCAAAAGTTTCTATTACTTTCTTTTTTGCCATAGATACTTCATCCCAGACAATCAGTTTTGCATCACGTATTAAAGTTGCAAGTGCGCTTTGCTTACTAATGTTGCAAGAATATTGTTCGTCGATATCAATAGGAAATTTAAAACGTGAGTGAGCAGTTCGTCCTCCTGGGAGGATCGAAGCTGCAACACCTGAACTTGCTGTTGCCAAAGCGACAAAACCTTTTGATCGTACAGCAGCTAATAAAGCACGATATAGAAAAGTTTTTCCAGTTCCTCCCGGTCCATCAACAAAAAATGCTCCTGATTTGTTAGAAAATATCCTATCAAGAACCGTGTCATACGCTCTTCGTTGTTCGGTATTTAATTTTCTCTCTAGAAGCAAATCTTCTTCTTTAACAATGATATTTCTTTCAAATTGACAGTCATTGGTTTCTCTGATAGTAGCTGAAGGTTTAATTTTCTCAGGGATAAGATTATATTCATTAATATCACGTCCCATCAAATGCAAAATATCATTAATATGATTTAAAGCCATAAAACCAATATCTTTAGCATTCATGTTACGTAGAATCTTAAAATCTTCGGTCATTGAATCTTCAAATTATTTCCAAAGTTCTGCTGGATTAGCGGGATTACAATACACCAATAATGTTGCAAATAAACGCCTTAAACTATATGGCATTTGATAATTTTTAGCTTCAGACATACATTCAACCAAGTTGTTATCACAATGTAATAATCCTCTTTTTTCTGCAGCCTCTCTAAATGTATTATAATATTTGCCATCAACTTTACATAAGTCCTGATATGATTTTGGTCCTCTAACGTTCATCAACAATAATCTAAGATAATATCTTTCTCCTTCTGTTGGATGACAAGTTACAACACGTCCAATTACAGTACGTTGTTTTCGACGTGTCCACATTTTTTCCTTAAAAGACCATACAAAGTACTCAGGAAATTCTTTATATAATAATAACAATTGCATAGCATCTTTATTTGTTCTGTTCATAACAAAGAATTCAGTTAACATTGTTTTTCGAATCATAGGGTTACTCAGTATTCTATCAACATTCTCAATACTTTTAAAAGAGACAAATTGTTGTCCTTCCAAATGTAACTGAAGGTGAAAAACACTTGGAGTCATTTCACTTATTGGGAAACGAAATAATCGCCACGCAGCTTCTGGAGGTGAAACCCATCTAGCAGATTGATATTCTTTTATTTCATCTATGTCTGTATCTGTATCACTATCATGTATATGAAATGTAATTTTATCGTGTCCTTTGCAAATATATTTGTAAATATATTTCACTACCTTGATATCAGAACAAACTTCAACATTCATATGACAATTATATTTGCATAGCAAAAATGGATTATATGGAACTACCCAAGAATTATCGAGAAAGTTACCTCTTACTTCTACAGCTTCCCCGGTTCTTCTCCTTCTGTATATTGGATATGAATTCTTTCCTTTTGATGTTTGTTCAGCAAAATCTTTTGGATACTTGAATTTGCAGTTATTATTTTTCATGCAAATATTTGTAGGATTTAACTTTCCACAAGGACCATGCATCATATGTTTAGTAACAAGTGAATATAGATCGCGATCTTTTTTAGAATCAGGCAATTCTGCACAAACAAATTTGTCATAAGATTCAGGAGTTAGTAATTTGTGTTCATCAGAAAGTATAATAAGGAAATGAGCATGTGGAAGACCACGTTTTTGGAATTCTATAGTATACATGAATCCAGCAACTCTTCCAAAGATTTGTCTTTTTAAAATATCTGTCTTTAATTCTTCTACCTTTGCTCTGAAAACTCTACTAACTAAATCAGGTCTGTTCTGGACTTCATCAGCTAGTGACAAATGTTCTTTTATTTCTGGCCAAGAAGGATTACAAGTCATTGTTATAAAAAAATCAGGTTTTCCAAAATATTGTACCAATGCGATAGCATCCATGTATCGTCGGTGCATATCCCTTGGTCCCCCTATAAATGTAACAGGGAGGAACGTTTTCTTTCCAATTTTAGAGGCTTCTCTTTCACCACATCTTAAAATATCAAGGAGACCTTGCAAGACTTCAATTCTAAATAAATCTGGATTAAATGAGAAGAAGTCTAATCTTTGTGTTTCAAGTTTTATATATACATCTACTATAAATTGTTGGAATATTCTTCCACAATGTATCACTTTGTTTCAGTATCTCTTATTTGAAATTTGTAACAGTAATACTCTCGACAAGACACTGTATCTCTTTTTCGTTTTCCTTTTTGTAATGATTCATCTTCCATATCAAGAAATCCATCAACTGAACACATGTTTGATATACTGGGTAACTGTTCATGTTCACAATAAGCTCTACGTTTCGTCACATTATTTGTTTGAATAATTTTTTTGATTCCACAATGCCATCCATTTTCACCGAAGGGAAATAATAACGGATATTGTAACGGATCATAACATCCATAATAATAATGTACTAATCGAGCTCTATTGCTATGGGTATAAATTCGAATATGTGGTGCAGAAATGTCTGTAGGATTTTCTTCAAGCCACAATGCTGCAATCTCTGATGAGCTAGGTAAATTATGTGTTCGTTGATCTAAGGTTGAGTGACATTTAAGAGCAATATAGAAATCAGATAGCTGGGGAACATTTAAGAGAGATTTTAAGAAAATAGTGTATGGATTTACTTTCAATATGTCCATCAACTTTTGCACTATTGATTCATTAATTCTTGTCGAACAAGCCATCCTATTAGCTAGTTCATTATTATGATCATAGAAGTACAATTGTAAATTTCTGGGTTTTTCATTGGAAGGAATTAAATCATCTATAAAATGATACATTTGTCCCTGGACTCTAAATGTGTAGATATCACAATTTCTTCTCGCTAGCTCTTTATCATACTTTACACCAAGTGAAGTAAATGCAAACATGTTACTGTATGTTCTAATATAAGTTCGAAAGTTTTCAGATTCTTCAGTATTTCCAAAGTATAACTCTGATAATTCAGGTGGCATTTTATGAGATGTCAACCTTATTGAACCACTGTTACAGCAAAATCCTGGAGGTTCATATTCGAACCTCTTTGCACAACAGTATTGGCAATGCGGAACGTTTTTTAGAGCAACATAGTTACTTTGTTGCTCCTTAGCAGCAAGAAACACCTTTCTGGCCCGACTATGAACTGAATATGTAAGAAGTATCATTAAAAAAATGGAAATACGAAGATATAAATATGGTGGAAATTATTATAATATAAAGTTTATACAAACCTTTGATTGGAACGGCGTTCAAGGAAACAGGAGGCAGGTTAGATGTACCCGATGTGGACCCTTATATACAAATAGTCACATATTACAGTACTGTACAAACAATATTATTCTCAAAAAAGAGTATAATCTAAAGGCAGGTTTACCTGTTTCACGAATGATGGGGGGATCCAACATATGCTTTCCTTTTTCTACATTATTCATCACTGTAGTCGTGCAAGTTTGAAGACTGGCAGCTAGTAAATAGAATAGCCAAAACGTTTAAAAGCGTACAGTGAAGCCATAGTAGATGCAAAATAGAGTGTAGTAGATGCAAAATAGAGTGTAAAACAGTATGTAATATTTTTCTATTTTAGTTTATAGGCACATATAAGATAAGCAAGATATCATACTCAATTTCCTAGCAAAATTAAGAAGCATCCTTGTCGTAATAATATATAATGTATAAATATGAATATAACAATATTAACCTTTTTAACGAAGAAAATGATATGATTACCTGATTCACAAATGGTAGGGGGATCCAATATACTCTTTCCTTTTTCTAAATTATCACCCAATGTAGTCACGCAAGCTTGATGGTTGGTAGCTAGTAACACAACAATAAACACGTTTAAAAGTGTACAGTAAAATTTCAGCAGGTGCAAAATAGAGTGCAGTAGAATACATATTATTTTGAGTATTTTCGTGTGTAGGCACATATAAGATAAACAAGGTGTCATACTAAGTTTCCCAGCAAAATACATAAGAACCATTGTATTAATAACATATGGTTTCTAAATATGAGTACAACAATCTAACCTTTTTGCGCAAGGGAAGGAGGTTCTCGTATGGTAAGAGCAGTTTGTTTTGGAAATTCTGCTTTGGCCCAAGATGATGTTGATTGCTCTGGGACAGCAAAATTGGAGCTTTGAAGAAGGATATTTTTAGCAGAATCTTGTCTTCTCATACGTCGTGATAGCAACATCGCTTCTCTTCTATAAGCAGATATTTGACTTTGCATATCACGTCGTTTGAGTTGCATTGCAGCCTTTCTTTTTTCCGCGTAAGAGCACTTGTTTGGTTCCTTGGAATCCATCAGCTATACAATTTCAACTTCTTTTTATCTGTAAAATATTTTCAGTCCAAATTTTGTCATGAAATATTCAAGCCTAAAAATGTGTCACAATTAAGAGATGATGCGTTACTTTCTGTTGAACTCAACACTCTATCGATCATGAGGTTTATATGATACATAAGCTGACTATCAAACGCTAATCCCAACAGCTTGATTTCATTGACTATTTCTGTTTATCTTGTTAATTGATTTAAAGGATTGTGCATATATGTGGAAAGAACCTCAGTACATAAAATAAGTGTACGCATGTAATCTATAGGAAAGCGAGAATGATGTTTGATGAAAAATTAATTTTTCCCTTTTTATGTCCTATATCAAATTGAAGATACTACCATACCCAAACAGCTATTTAGTAGCTTATACTGATAAAATGACATGAAATAGTAAGACTTTGAGAACATTTGGGCTTTTACAGATTTAACAGCTTATCAATGTGAACAAAAAATAAACTATACATCCACATGTTAAAAGCTTCAAACTCTAATTCACAAAGATCAAGTGTGAAAAACAAAGAATGAAAGATCTCATATGGTTTAGTTCAATTGATACTGTCTAATTGAAAGCAAAAGCGGTTGTTAGTATTTAGTTCCCCAATTATTTCACAGTCGAGAAAATAAACCCAAAACAATAGTAGAAATAAAAAAAAAACCTAATTCATTCAAGAATTGCCTCAAACACCTAAAGACAAAGTCGTTGGACAAAGTAAAGTCTCTGTGCAATAAAGCCCTAACATGGCATAAAAAATTAAATAGATAAACACAGTATGCGAAGAAGGAGAAGAAAACTGTCACGACCCCAAATCCCGGGTCATGATGGCGCCCTGCCGCAAGGCTGGGCAAGCCTGACCATATCAACCCAACAACGGCATTAGAACCCAACAAGAACATTTTTAAGGAAAATAGCAATAGATTGAAGTATAAATGCCCAGACAGGGCCAAAACTGCACAACTCTGAACAATAACAGATCCCCAAGACCAAGGGGTCACAAATATGAGCCTCTAGAACAGTACCACAACTGAAAACGACAATACAGAGTTTATGAAATACGGGAATCAAAATAAACTGAGATAGGCAGAGTCTGAAGGTCCTGCGGACGCGGGCAGCTACCTCGAACCCTGGAAAAAAAAACCTCCGATAATCACCGCAACTGCGACTGAGACTCAGCTGCTCCTGTATCTGCACACAAGGTGCAGGGAGTATGGGGTGAGTCTACCAACTCAGCGAGTAATAACAGTAAATAATAACTCGAAGGAGAGAAAACCAGATATAACACTAAGCACAGCTAACACTATCATCTCTGACTACAACAAAGTACTGCAAGAATCTGTTAGAAACAGTAAAATCACATAATATGCAAATGAATGCAATGCAATGCAATGCGATGCATGCCTGCTGCGGTACGTGCAGCCCGATCCAATGGGTACCCGCGCTCACTGTGGGGGTTCAGACTCCGGAGGGGCTCCTACAGCCCAAGCGCTCAATACTGCGGAACATGCAGTCCGATCCAATACTGCGGAACGTGCAGTCCGATCCAATGCATGTACTGCTGCGGAACGTGCAGCCCGATCCGGTGCATATGCAATCACGCCAGTCAAATATATTCGTAAATCATGCTAGTACAACCCAGAAATCCCTGAAGGACTCTGCAGGTCGGCACAAGGCCCCAAACACGGCATAAAGCCCATATCAATCCCTGAAGGATTATATAAGTCGGCACAAGGCCCCAAACACGGCATCAAGCCCAGCTAACAACAATGCAATAATGCTAAGCAGTTAATTCACGGCATAATTTAGTCTCTCGGATTGGGACCGAGTCACAATTCACATCACCACCGACCCCGCACTACCCTGGAGTGCGTGTCTAGCCTCACAATAGCGGCACAAAGTGATATACC